AAAAACTGAATATAATGAGGTGTATTAGTTATTAATTGCCCTGCGAGAACAAAGGGAATACCCGCAATCATGATATTACAGTGTTTATGCCGTGGTTTATGGAATTATCTATGTTCGTATTATATATAAAATGTGTACTGTATATCTGCTGGTACCCCATTGCCTAATTCATGGAGGCCGAAGAAAGACTGAAGCCGTGATTGCATATACCGCCAGATATACGCACATACTGCATATATAGCTAAATATTCGATGTGGCAAGGTATGCATTTGCCTGAGGCTGAGAATGTTTGTACATTCATCTGAAAATTCTCATACTTTACTACCTGCCAACCTCCGACCTACTTAAAAGTTTTTAAATATAATGAACTATTGAATTCAAAGTATTTTTAAAGATAAATCATTGACAGTTTTAATGTGGGCATTCAGTCTCTGTTTGGCAGTGTCCAATTGCCCGACTTCGCCCCCCCTCCCCTCCCCGTCCTCATACGCCTATGCCGATAGGGCCCTGCCAGCGGGTAGTGACCCCCTCTGACATAGACCAGAACCAATGGGTGATAATAATCCCTTTTGACACAACCTACGGGATTATATTTACTTTACATAACGGGAGTCTATGAGCCTGAAGTCGAATAATATTGGAACCAGCTCAACCCCGAACCAAAATTTATTTGTTTAAGCATATGCCAATTTAAGTATTCACATAGGGATAATATCAAAAGTGAACTGAAATTGTTTGATAGTCTTCCTTGAAAAATCTTCGCATAACATTGATATCATAATACACATTCAGTCTACCAAACCAGTCACTTACAACGCGGAACATAAATTAGTGAATGAATGGAAATTTTTGTTCTCGCTAACGAAGACATGGTTAGGGTTAGGGTAAAACTGTCTGTACCAGTGTAGGTAGTACCAATGTGAAAATGCTGTGCTGAGTGGTTATATTACTACCTTAAAAAATAAGCAGAAACTCGACGTTTCGAGCGAAGGCCCTTCGTCAAGAGTTAGTAGCAGGGATCGGGGAAAATGCACGGGCTTTTATACCAAGAGTATGAAAGCATCACGTGACCAAAAAATAAACCAATTAGATGGATTTAATAATAACAAAGTGTAAACAAAATATGTAAATCGCATTACAGAATATAATATAATTAAAAATATAAAAATAAACAGGAAGTTAAGACAATTACTAGAAAAAATAATCAAAACAAAACACGAGTGGGAATAAGGTAAAAGTAATAAATAGAAGTTGTCAATGTCTGCTATAGAGAGGCAAAGACAGATGGCATCATAGACAAAACAGAAGACATGTCTTCTGAATTGTCTATGTGGCATTAAACATAAGAAAAGCGTTCATTAATGCCAGAAGGGTCAACAGTGCCAAGTTTGGATATTGCGGCTATCGTTGCTTCCAGAAATGGGACAGAGGGCTCGAATTAACATATCTGAAACACTGTGATTGCCATCATTAAAATGTCTGGCAACAGGTTGGTTAGCATCATTGCCAATAACTGCACGCCGATGCTCACCAAACCTTGTCCTTAAACATCTTCCAGTTTCCCCAATGTAAAGCATGCCACATCTGCTGCAAGAGATGCAGTAGATGAGATGGGAAGAGGCGCACGTGAAATGGTGCTTGGTGTGAAATTCAGATTTAGGTGCCGAAACAATAGTGGTGGAATCTATAAAATCACAGGTTTTACATTTCGACGACAGGCAAGGAAAAGTGTCTTTCTGTGACGTCGAAGCCTGTGTTAGGGAGCTATGGAGAAGGGTTTCACGGATAATATTGCTGTGTCGAAAAGAGACTAAGGGGTTATCGAAGAAAATGGAAGATGTTTCAGGGTCGCTTTTCAAAATATGGAAATTCTTGTTGATGACATCTCTAACTTTGAAATTGAAAGGATGATAGTTTAATACTAGGGGGATTTTGTTGTTGCCTGTGACATTAGACACAGGGTCTGTGAGGGTGTCAGAACGGGGAATTTGGGAGGCCTTCGAAAAGGCAGTGTCTAATAGAGAGGTAGGATAACCACGCTGGACAAAAAAGTGTCTCATCTCCAGACGTTTGGCCTGAAAATCTTCGTCTTACTGCAGATGCGGCGAAGACGAAGGAACTGAGAAAAGGGAATCGACCTTTTGGTGTGGTTGGGGTGGGAAGAAGAAAATAGAAGATAACTATGGGAGTCAGTGGGCTTGTAGAACACAGAAGTAGATAATTTGTTTGATACAAGAATATCTAAGAATGATACACTGATCTCACTGATCTCCCATGTGAACTGGAGTGCTGGATGAAAATTATTAACAAAGTTAATAAACTTATTTATTTGCATTTTCCCCGATTCCTGCTACTAACTCTTGACGAAGGCCTTCGCTCGAAACGTCGAGTTTCTGCTTATTTTTTAAGGTAGTAATATAACCACTCAGCACAGCATTAGGATTAGGGTATTTGTCAAAGTGAAAGCCCATCATACATTGACCTTTGCTTTGCATGTTCGTTGTTGACATATGGATTGGTCAGCTAGTCTTTCATTCGGTTTGAATAATGCTTTCTTTTGTGGCTGTTGACAAACCTGTCCTATTTCTATGAGATTATCACCAGGTTTGAAGGTGACCAATGTGTTGTTTCATTAACTTTAATTTATGTATTGTTATATATTAATTTACCAATAATTACTATCGTTTTTAGATTCAGTATGATTTTTACTACATTAACAAGCTGTTTACAAATATTTAGTTTAGAATGATGGCACTACAAAAGGCCCATAACAACTGTTTACTAGTAACAGGAAACGCTGAAATTGCTGGAAACAAAAAATAAACTGAACCAGAAGAGAATACGAAAAAATGCACTGCCACCATGGAAAAATTTAAGATATTTTTTAATTGTAATCCCTAATTGTACTAAGCTTCATCTTGGTGTATCATCAACAGTATACTACTGCCATTTTTCATTATTATAGTTCAGGGCGTACTTTTTTGCACAGCAATAAATTTTTAGCACAGCCACGGTTGAAGGTGGCTCGATACGGTTTTCAAAAAAATTCAAGAGCATAACAATTTGACATTTTTAAACTTCGCATTTTTTAGGTTTTATGCAGCAGATATCGGGTTGTTCATATATATATATTAGTGTTTTCTCTTTGAAATTATCAAAGTTTTGGTAACACTTACTTCGTTGCTATGACAACACATGTGCACTAAATTCACTTTAAAATAGCTTATTACTTTGTGTAGTTGGAAAAGAAACACGGTGACCCCCATTTACTCTCGTGCAATGTACTTAGAATTTGAACTTACAAAAAACAGGATATGAAAAAATTCTGTGATGTCATTTTCTTTAAAAACGCAAAAATGTCGTTTATCGCTTCACTGCATATATCAACCACCATGCATGCATCGGCAATTTGAACTGTTTGTCAGGTTGAGCTCGGTTTAATTTCTGTGCTGCCGAACACTACAGTCAAAGCCTTTATGGCATAATTATGGCTGTGCATGCAGTGCTCGGTTGTTGCCTAGCACATAGTCGCTTTATTGTTTTAATCAATTTTTAATAATTAACAAGAAAAATTATTAATTAATCACTAATACATTTAGCACAGAAAAGGTGGGGGTATTATTAACGCTCACTACACATAACGTATCTATATAAGTTCAACATATAGCGTCCAAAAACGGGGAGGAGGGTGGGTAAATCTCTTGCGTCCAATTTCTTGATGTGCACTGCAGTTCTCGTGGAATAGGAAAGGAAAGATGGCCCGCTTCACCACTGATAAATACCGAACCTTCCAATTACGTGACTATTCTTAAATTAACTTGCGCGCGCAAATAACCTATTTCGCATAATTAATTTCAATTATAAATTATTACGGGAAGGAATAAACACTTTTATCGCGGTGGCAATAAGTTCCTTTTCTTTGACCAACTTTTTCGGCATTACAGAATTTTTTTATTTTAGGTATAATGAATTAGACTTTAGTAATATAACAATACAGCATGTAAAATTTGAACATATATATGTCACCGGACAAAATAATGAGATAGCACATTTTTTTTCTAAAATTGATTTTTTTAATGGCGTTGGCAATGGCGCAAGATCGCGTGAGGATTAATATTTCGAGCCACCTTAAACGGTTTGGAATAATTGTCAATCGAGAATCTCTTATATACGTGCGATATTTTTATTGCAGTTTACACCATTAAATATTTACTTACCTGCACATTTTTCGCTGTGTGACTCTCCATTTCATCTATTACAATCTTTAGGCCCCTGTTGATATATGATCTGCGTTAAAACAATGTTAAGATTTTTGTAACGTTCACTATCTTATACCGTTTGTTTAAACTAATCTTTTTCTGTTTTGTTCTTCTTTTGGTACAAAACACTCTACTCTTTTTCATGACTTTGTTAGCTTTTTTATATTAACTATGCTTTGGGTACCCTGGATTCCAGAGCCTTCGACAGTAAATAATAAATTGAAATGTCGCGAAGGCTCTGGTTCAACGGGGCGATTCTTTGATTAAACCACGCCAATCACAAAACAGAATTAGTGGTTTCAGTTACAGTTCTTTACTGTCGAAGGCTCTGGAATCCAGGGTATGCTTTGGGTTATATCCTTAGGAAAAAGTTACATACAGCTACGCAGTGTGGGAGTGTGAACGAGGATAAAGAGTTAGAGATCTATAATTGAAATTTAAGACCGAACGTACAGCACGAGTTATACTTTTCATAAAACATAGATCGTACCTCTTGTTTATAGCTTCTTTTGTTTCGTTCACCTCTGCCATGTTTTCAATCTCCACCTTCAGTCCTTCTACTTTTATTCCAATCTGCGAAAATTCCTCTTGCAAGCGTTCTTTCATCTTTCCAGATTCATAATCTTTTAAAACTTCCAGGAATCTTTTGTCTGTTAGACAACCTAATAGAACATGCAAAGATCCTGGTCGGATACGTCGAACTTCTGTGTCATCTCGTTCATCACCAAGACATTTTTTAACAGCACTCTCGATTAACGGTCTTAATAATTTATACCCAAGGTAAAGAGCACCTAGTGTAGTTACAGTTTTGCATACATCTCGTGCTACCTCCCCCAGTGTAGTGCACACATCTCGGGCTACTTGCACATCGTCCGTGGTGATGTTGATCGAAAATCCACCTCCAGTGACGCTAACACGTAAAGCCTCTCCAGCTCCAGATTCTGCCATCCAAAAATTTGTCCTAGAATTTTCCTAGAAATAGAATTGGAATTCGTCAGAAATTTTGGTTTGTTGCATGGGATTCGTTCCATGGGGCATTTAGCGTCGGTGGTCTTGTAAACTACTTTTACCCTGTACATACATATTCTGTGTTCTAGATTTTTACACAGCTAATTATTATTGGGCATCGAAAATTTTGTCTAAGACTAAAATAAATTTGGACACCAATAACCAATGTAATCCCGGTTTAAATTAAGCGACCATCGAACTTTTCATATATAACACAACTGAAAGATGATCTCAATGTTCATGGAGTGAACCAGACGCTTTTTAATTAAAAAGCCGTAATATTGGTTGTACTAGACCAATTTTAATAATTTAAGTGTCAAAATTCATCTCTTAGATTGAATTTTCGATGCACACTAATAAATAGCTGTGTAAAAATATGGAACACAGCTATTGAATTTGAGACATCCTGTTTAATGGAAATATATACACACGCCTGTAAGTCTTATCACTACACGGCGAGTGAAGCTACTCGCCTAGCTCTACTTGTCTGTCGTTAACTTCGTCTCGCCCATGTTATTCGTTAAGTTTAACTTTTCATATAAAAGCTGATCATCTACTTGTTATTTTACTTTCTGTACAACACAATGTCTGACGCTATACTTGAGTTTGAATGCGATTTTGTTTGAAATTAAAAGGTCAAATTTAATATTCTTTGCTTACATCTGTGATGGGGGGTGGGGCGGGCGGGGGGGAGGGGGTGATCTGAATTATACAAATTAAATTGGGGAAGAATAGAACACATGCAGTTATTGGATTTGAGTTATGGTTCATAACCACGTTATGGTCGATAACCTTCAATGTCTAACTTTCGCATTCTTCTGTTGATTTTTCAACATTTATCGATCGTTCAATATTGAAAATGTGTTGAATATTGAACAAATTTAATGTCCGAATTATCTTCAATGTCGCAAACATAATATTGAACAGGTACTTGTAAACTGCATACCTCTGCCAGCGAATGAAGTTAAATTATACAATGGGCTAGTACTCATTAATAGTTGAAGAGTCTTGTAGATGGAAATTATCGAGTGGAAATTTACTGATATACATTTATTAGACCTAACCGGGAACAGCTGCGAATAATGCAATTATTGTAGGTCCCTGACAGGAACCGAACCTGCGGCCCTGCGTTTCCTTTGCAGCGCTCTAACTGAGCTACAGAGGCCAGTTGCCGTCGAGCTATAACTATATATATATTTAATAGATTTGAAGATTTGTAATCCAGGCATTTTATTAAATTATAATTTTTACAAAATTATACAGTGTTCTCCGGATTGTAATTATTTGTTTTGAGCTTTCGACTCGGTACTTCGAGCCTTCATCAGAAGGATTGATCATTTGAATTTTCGCGCTGCTGTTGACGTTGTTGAAGTCTGTTGGAACGTCTGATTGGTTGATGGATTTCAGTATGTTGGTTGCCATTAGTTACTATCGAATGCGGGTGATTATTGTTATCATGAGACGGTGTAGGGAAGGAAGTTGAGAGTGGGTTAAAGGTTAATGAAGATGAATTAGGAGATTTGTGAGAGCGTTTCAGTTGTAAGTAAATTGTAGGGATGTCAATGTGACGGTTAAATGTTTGTTTGTCTAAACTATGCCACGCTTCTTTAAACTCACGGGCATGTTTAGTAGTTGCTTGTCCTAGGCATCTCGTTTGAGACCAGTCGAATTTGTGTCCGTTGTCGTCTGTGTGTTTAGCTGGAAGTGAGCTATGGTCGTGTCTGTCGATTGCGTTCTGGTGTTCTGTTAGTCTTGTCTGAATCTTTTTAGAAGTTTGTCCAATGTACTTATCCGGACAGTTTTTGCACGGATTTGTGTTTAGTGAAGTTGGACCTAAGTTTGCATGTTGGTTTGTGTGCAACGTCAATGTTGAAAGGTCGGAGGAGTCTAGCTGCCATTTCTGATGTAGTGTGTATGTAAGGAAGTGTAATCATCGTTTTTGTTTGGTTAAGTCGGTCCGTGTTAGTTTGTTGTTTATGTTGTAGCACCTTATTAATGAAGTCTAAAGGGTAGTCATTTTTGTAAAAAGTAGAGTATAAATACTTGCGTTCGTCTTGTTTGGATTGATCAGTGTTACAATGTGTGTCAATTCTGTTGAATAGAGTCTTTATGCAACTGACTTTATGTTGTGTTGGGTGATTGCTATTGTAATTTAAAATTTGATCAGTGTGTGTTTTCTTGCGATAAACTTGTGTGGTTAAAGTGCCGTTGTCTGTTTTTGTTATTAGGACGTCCAAAAACGCGAGTTTGTTGTCATGTTCTTCCTCTTTGGTAAATTTGATGTTCTTAGTGGTGTTGTTAATTGTTAGTAGGATGTCGTCTGTTTTGTCCTTTTTGACAGTAGCAAGTACATCGTCTACATACCTGTCCCATGTTTTAATGTCGTCATTGTTTGTAACAGCTTTACTTTCCAGATCTTGCATCACTGCCTCAGCAAGGAAACTGGAAAGTGGTGACCCCATAGGAGTGCCGGAGATTTGTCGGTAGTAATTGTTCTGGAAGCAGAATTCAGTTGAAAGGCATAGGTCAAGTAAATCAAGAATGTCTTGTATATTAAGTTCTGTCTTTGTTTGCCACGAAGTATTGTTAGTAAGTAGTTTTTCAGTTATTAGTCGTGCAGTGTCAAGTGGGATGGAAGTGAACAAAGAGACAACATCAAAGGAAATCATGATTTCATCAGGTTCAACGTGGATGTCTTTTACTTTCGACAGAAAGGCGTCAACATTCTTAACAGAGTGTGGTGATGTACTCACCAGAGGTTTGAGGATATCAGCGAGGTATTTTGACAATTTGTAGGTGGGGGATCCAGGTAGAGAAACAATTGGTCGGAGAGGATTATTATCTTTATGAATTTTTGGAAGTCCGTAGAATTTAGCGATTGTTGCGTCTTTGGGTCTGATTTGATCATAGGTGCGTTTGTTCAGTTTGTCTTGGTCCTTGAGAGATTTAAGTTTTTTGTTAATGCGGTTAACTGTAGTTTTGCTTGGGTCAGTGTCAAGTGGCTGATAAGTGTTAGTGTCATTAATTAGTGTTTTGGCTTTATTGGTATAATCCGATTTATCCATGACAACCGTCATACGTCCCTTGTCTGCGGGTAGTATTATAATACTGTCGTCTTTCTTAAGGTCTTCCAAGGCTTCTCGTTCTTGTTTGGTAAGGCCAAGACAAACTGAACAAACGCACCTATGATCAAATCAGACCCAAAGACGCAACAATCGCAAAATTCTACGGACTTCCAAAAATTCATAAAGATAATAATCCTCTCCGACCAATTGTTTCTCTACCTGGATCCCCCACTTACAAATTGTCAAAATACCTCGCTGATATCCTCAAACCTCTGGTGAGTACATCTCCACACTCTGTTAAGAATGTTGACGCCTTTCTGTCGAAAGTAAAAGACATCCACGTTGAACCTGATGAAATTATGATTTCTTTTGATGTTGTCTCTTTGTTCACTTCCATCCCATTTGACACTGCACGACTAATAACTGAAAAACTACTTACTAACAATACTTCGTGGCAAACAAAGACAGAACTTAATATACATGACATTCTTGATTTACTTGACCTATGCCTTTCAACTGAATTCTGCTTCCAGAACAATTACTACCGACAAATCTCCGGCACTCCTATGGGGTCACCACTTTCCAGTTTCCTTGCGGAGGCAGTGATGCAAGATCTGGGGCCGGTTGTATCAAAGGCGTTTAAGTCGCTAACCACCGTTTAACTCGCTATCCGCTGGATAAAATTTAAACGCTCGAGAAATCGCGTTGTATCAAGCCCGTTTAGGGCTATCCACCGGTTAAATTTTGCCTATCCACCGTGTAAACTTATACGGTCTCTTGAGACCGTTTAAATCGCTATACGGCGGATAAACTCTGAGTTTGAAGATAAAACAATGATTATTTCGGATGAAAAAGCATGGGATAGTTATAAAAATGCACAATCATGTAGAGGAGTTATCTTTTTAAATCCAATAAACATGAAAAACTCACTTTTAACTGGCTTGGTCTTGAGGTACACTGAGGTCACTTGCTCACTTGTAATTCAGTGGCTTTGCTATATTTTAATACGCACACCAGTGTCATGTTTAGATGTTAAGTAATATTATATACTCTGGCTTTTTCTTCTTCTTTTCTTCTTTTATATAGTTTGAAAACAAGCAGTAAGACTCCCAACTTTAGCTATTGTAAAACAAACAATGACTTTGGAAAGCCAACAAGTATACAAAATAGACAACAAGACGCCGAAAGTCGAAAAAAATTGTTCGCTCGCTTTGATCAGCCAATCAAAACGTAGGACAAAATGTTCTTAAAATTGTTTTGAACAAAAGTGCAAGGTCGAGGAACACATTCAAACAGTATAAAACTGAATCAACTGACAAAAGCCAAATACAACTCACAGTTTTTGCTATTGCCTTCGACTCTTCGCATAAAGAAGCCAAAAATCTTTAAAGAAATATCCGTAAGTGAATTTAAGTGAATGAGAAACTCAGCACAATGTGAAAATGAAAAGTTTGATATAGATTTGCAGCAACGAATGGACGAGCAAACTCCAAATAAAAACAACAACAAACTTTATTGCAAAAGCTTAGTGGAATTCACAAGTTAGATAAAGCTTCAAAAGTTTACAAAGGCCTAGCAACAGCTGACGTAGAGGTAGGAAATTTCAAGAAAATCCGGTTTTCTCCGGTTAAATTAAAGGTTATCCTACGGATAGTTAAACGCGGTACTAAACGGGCTTCGTACAACGCAATTTTATCGGCCGTTTAACTATCCGCTGGATAAGAAATTTATACGCTGGATAGCGGCTAAACACCGTTTAAGTTAAACGCCTTTGATACAACCGGCCCCTGGAAAGTAAAGCTGTTACAAACAATGACGACATTAAAACATGGGACAGGTATGTAGACGATGTACTTGCCATACCTAATTTTAGTGTGCAGTCCTAACCAATTTGTGCAGTGATAAAAGTAAAATGTGCAGTGATAAAATGTAAAATGTGCAGTGATAAAATTTGCTTTGATAAGTTGTTAATTAACACAAGAGAATGATTTAATTGAAACTGAAATGATGACTGCCAAATTATCGAATTAAATAATAGTATATGTTTTTTGTACGAAAATCATGAGATTCAGGCAATTTTTAGTTAATATCTGGCTTTTGGTATGTCCGGAAAAAATTTTTGACCCTTAAAATGGTACACTGACCAAAATTTTTTTGGCGACGGGGGGAGGGGGACGTCGCCAAAAATTTCCGAATATTCGGAAATTTTCTTAGTCATTCGGAAAATTTTTGGCATACACCCCACCCCCCAACTGTAACAAAAACACAAAAATGTGCAGTGATAAAAAATTCTTAAAATTAGGTATGGTACTTGCTACTGTCAAAAACGACAAAACAGACGACATCCTACTAACAATTAACAACACCACTAAGAACATCAAATTTACCAAAGAGGAAGAACATGACAACAAACTCGCATTTTTGGACGTCCCAATAACAAAAACAGACAACGGCACTTTAACCACACAAGTTTATCGCAAGAAAACACACACTGATCAAATTTTAAATTACAATAGCAATCACCCAACACAACATAAAATCAGTTGCATAAAGACTCTGTTCAACAGAATTGACACACATTGTAACACTGATCAATCCAAACAAGACGAACGCAAGTATTTATACTCTACTTTTTACAAAAATGACTACCCTTTAGACTTCATTAATAAGGTGCTACAACATAAACAACAAACTAACACGGACCGACTTAACCAAACAAAAACGAGGATTACACTTCCTTACATACACACTACATCAGAAATGGCAGCTAGACTCCTCCGACCTTTCAACATTGACGTTGCACACAAACCAACATGCAAACTTAGGTCCAACTTCACTAAACACAAAGACAAGACACATATAACGGATAAACATAACGCCATTTATATCTTCCCGTGCAAAAACTGTCCGGATAAGTACATTGGACAAACTTCTAAAAAGATTCAGACAAGACTAACAGAACACCAGAACGCAATCAACAGACACGACCATAGCTCACTTCCAGCTAAACACACAGACGACAACGGACACAAATTCGACTGGTCTCAAACGAGATGCCTAGGACAAGCAACTACTAAACATGCCCGTGAGTTTAAAGAAGCGTGGCATAGTTTAGACAAACAAACATTTAAGGTGGCTCCATACAGTTCCGTAGTATAAATACCTTATTGCGTAAAAATTTCAATTTATAAATTGTATTACTCCATCTATTAATTTTAAGCATTCCCAAGTATAAATTAAGTATTTGGTAGAAAAAATTTGCAATATTCTTGAACATAATATTGTTTCCATAGTAACAGTAGCCTCGCCAAATATGGTATTTTTTGCTATTTTAAGCAGGTTTTTATTCTTTATTTTCCGAATATTGCCGGTGACCCCCAATTTTTAACTGCTGTATAGCTTTCACTTATAATAAGGAATCTTATCCCTGAAAATAAAAAAATTCTGTAGATTAGAATAGCCAGAATAAAAAATTGCGGATTTAAAGTTTTCCAATCTACAGATTTTTTTAAAATTTTGATATTCTATTTGTTTTAAAAGAAGTTATCGTTGTGCAAAATTTCATCACATGTCACCGTGCAAAATTTTGAATTACACCGTTTTATTGTGGTATCTCACTCGCTCGGCCGAAAGTTTTTCGAGCTCTGCAAGATCAATGAATTGACATGCGCGTACATGTTTTCGCAGGCGCATCTCCAGAAAAACACGCACAAAAAGGTTTTTAGTCTCGTCGAAATATCAAATATATGTTGTGTTTTCTTGCTTAGAAATGCAAATATCTTTAGTTTTGCATGCTAACTCGGGATAACGCCAAGAAAACAGGTGATTGTGTCGTTTGGTATAAGATATGTGTGACATGTATGAACTTTTTGGTTTCTCTACATAGTTTTATATTCGTTTACAGTCGTAACTTGTGTGTTTTCATGTTGTTGTTGACAATTTAAAACAGTTTGAGCCGGCGTATGATGCTGTTTGACTGAATTCCTTTGCTGTTAGTGACACTTTGAATACATTTACCAGTTGTAAGTACAAAAAACTCTGGATATGAACATATAAAACGTCAAATATTGGAGTAAAAACGTTTCGCCGGTCGGGCCGATCGCCGGTTTTCACAAGAGTTTGAACGTTAAACATTGCATTTTTTACCTTAAAATGTCTTCTAAAAAGACTAGCTATTCAATGTTCAGGGCTAAATCAGGACGAAGTTTGTTCTTTGAGAACAAATGAGAACAAAAAAGACTCGAAACATCAAAATAACCATGACTTGTGGTTCGAATTTTAGACTGAAAAAGTTGTATTTATTTTTGCATATATTTGTAATATTTTCGCGCGAAACTCAAGATTAGGTACCAGTCCCCCGATGATGAAAGTGTATGGAGCCACCTTAACCGTCACATTGACATCCCTACAATTTACTTACAACTGAAACGCTCTCACAAATCTCCTAATTCATCTTCATTAACCTTTAACCCACCCTCAACTTCCTTCCCTACACGTGCACCGTCTCATGATAACAATAATCACCCGCATTCGATAGTAACTAATGGCAACCAACTTACTGAAATCCATCAACCATGCAATCAGACGTTCCCACAGACTTCAACAACGTCAACAACAGCGCGAAAATTCAAATGATCAATCTTTCTGATGAAGGCTCTAAGTACCGAGTCGAAAGCTCAAAACAAATAATTACAATCCGGAGAACACTGTATAATTTTGTAAAAATTATAATTTTATATATATATATATATATATATATATATATATATATATATATATATATATATATATATATATATATATATATATATATATATAGCGCGTGGCGAGGGTACTAATTCCGCTCGGCTATTTACACCCGGAAAAGGAAAGCTGTAGTGGAGTGAAAATTCCGTCAATGACTTGTAAACAACTTAAAGCTGTGGTGCACACAAGAAATCTCTAAACCTCTGGTTGAACGAGAGTGAGAGTTTCCTGAATCTCGTGTGCGCAGCTCAAACGAGAACAAGTGTTGCGCGAGAGTTGATAAGAGGTACTGGTTAAACGAGCAAAAACTATCATAATTTCTCGTCAACATTTGAACTAGTTTAAAGATGTTGAGAGTGCATGATAGTACTAGTCAATGAGAGTTGGCGGTCAAACGTGGGCGAGAGTTGAAACCCTCATCAACTCTCTTCCTCGTTTGACCAGGGCTTCATTAACTAACATATATAATTTAGCACTTGAGTAAGTGTAATAGATGCATGTACACGGTTACGACTAATTTTGGTGTGAATTTCATTTTATTTCATTTTTATAGCATGACCTGAAACACGAAAGACAAAGTTATTACGCACTTACAGATGAAAGGTATAAATCTACCCATATCAAAACAACTTCCTTTAATACCAATAGTGTTTGTGAAGTTACTGGAGGACGTGGATTCTAAATTGAATGAAATTTAGGTTAGTTTTTTTTTTGTTAAACACCGCGTTTATTTATTGGATAAAGGTGATTATCACAAAGCAAACAAATATTTTGTCTGTATCCAGGGCCGTAGCTATAGACCGATAATTGGGGGGCAGAACACAAATATATGAATATACACCCGGCGGATTTCTTTTGGAAGTGATTGTTTTTACGGTCTGTGAACATAAATATATCAATATACCCCCCCCCCCCCAATTATCGAGTCTAGCTACGGCCCTGTCTCTATCCATGGATTAGAAAGCGGACCTCCCGGAACCCAGGTTTTAAAGGTGTCACCGATTATGCTGCTTCCATGTGGCGTACTATTTATGGACAGAACTTAATTCACGAATTATAGGTTCGACAGAAGAGCGATGTATATTAAATAATAAATCAACAAAGTACGTACACGGCAGAATTTGGGTGACAAAATTTCTACACAAATTCGGTAGAGCATATCGCATTACGCGACATTAATTCATATGCCGCTCCACCCTTGTTAGTTATTAGACTAGCCATCTTGTAATTTAAAAATAGACTAAAATTTGTTTTGATTTTTTTTAGGAATCGCTTGTCAATGCTCCCAAACCTTAATTAGCTGGGCAATCACATTATTATATTTGGTAAGCCATGCATTTGAGTCACTATCGTTCGTGTATCGCTCTGCATGGCGTCGCATCTCAATACAATTAAGTTCGGCAGATAAAAAGTACGCCGTCGGAAACGCACCTTGGTAGATGTATAGATTTCAGTTATATCATGCAGCACAGTGTAAAATGAATCTGAGACAATCAATTTATGTGCTACATAGTTAAACCAATTGTAGTTATCAGAGTGAGAAAAAATGAAAATTATTTTGAGTAATATGTGGTATAGTGGTGTACTTAGCTTGGTAGAATATTAATACAGTAACTGATATGGAGAAGTTTATCCATCTGTTACCGGTAATACTTTCTGCAACCCATCAATAGGCAATAGTAAAGATTTCTCGGAATAAGGTCGCTGTAAACTGTAAGCATAAGTCATATAGTCATTCATGAAGAAGTGCCATGGTCAAGGAGAACTGTCAAACACTATGCGATTGAAATATAATGGTATGCAAATCTTGCCTTGTGTATAGTCAGCAGCCTATAGATAAAATGCAGTTTCAAAATATCAGGACCGGTATACTTTGCAGTCGAGACTAGTACTCACTTGTCGTAGAACACAACTGCTGTTTTGAGCTGTAGGAATTCCTGCAATAAAATGCATGCACTTTATTTCAACAAACAGCATTTCAATGTTCTATGATCATGCCGAGAAAACACATCCCGTGGAAAATATGTGTAGTAGCTTTCTATATTTATCATGGAATAGCTTTTTTCCATCGTGGTTCTCGCAATTTCTAAAATTACATTAACAAAATTGACATAAATACATCAAGTGTCTACATACATACATCACGTATAAGCAATATTTATCATGTTTATTAATTTTAGAGTTTTGGGTATAAAATTCACCAGAACTGAAGAGTTTGCTCTCGAAATGTGCTTTACAGTTTACAATTTACAGTAAAATATCCTACCATATATAGTGGAGTTTGCAGCTTACGGTTCTCTCACACCTTAAACTTTGTGATTGAAAGTGTCTTGTCAGTCATAGTCTTGAATCTATGAAATAATTTTATAGCTTTTGTGTTCTTTGTCTTCCTTGTACGAAATTACCATACGAGTATATACATTGAAAGCGAAAGATAAGTTTACACTAAGTCTCAGACAAACTTTAGTCCTAAAAGCCAGTTCAAATGTTGCAGATCTACAGAATAACTCTTTAGCCAAAGGGGAAATATTTATATTTTCGCAAATAAACATGCAACTTTGAAACGTCGTCAAAATTTCACACATTCCTTCAAACTACTCAACAGTGCGAAGAATTGTTGTGAAATATGTTTCATATTTCCATATTTATTGTATAACATTGAAAATACGAGAAGATTTATCGGCTCGTATCCATTATCCCAATCTAAAATAATTCATTGAAATTGTTTCTAAATTAGCATGAATCATCAAATATGACATTTCATTACAATCAACTTTGATTTAGCTGTTGGAGCAGAAAAAATCAGTAATCAGCAGCGCACTGTGCATGTTTACCTCACTGATGAACATGCCATACTTATCGGTTGCCTTTAAAAAGACACGAATAAAACAAGCATTATGATTGGTCAACAAATGCGCATGCAGAATAATACATCCTCGGGAATTTTCGTGCCTCTTCGTCTTTGTAAAATGTTTGAAGACATTGTGCGAGAATTTTGTGAAATTATCGAATTTGACAAGGAAATTAAATAATATTGAAATTTCAGGCAAAACAGTAGCCAGAATTGACAATTTGGTGGAGAGTATTCAAGGAGAAACGTCGACATTTTTGAAGGTATGTTTATTTACATGCAAAAATAAATAATACAATAATATTTAAACTGTTATTGAATGTATTTATATCGACAACCGATCAACATTGATACTTGAATAAAATGCACCATTAATTATCAGATTCGGATATGCGGACAGAATGGCATACTGTATGAGTCTAGTGGTGATAGCATCAAATGCCGAATATATTTCACTGAATCAAGGCCACTACAAGTTAATTTTGAGTTTCTGGTCCGCCGCCCGCGTCCTTTCTCGGTAAAGTATTATTTCAGGACTATTTTGTTGTTTACAAATAATTTCTTGTTGTTGAAAATTTTCGCGAAGGATTTAACTTATAGAACAATAGAACGAACCTAGCAATATGAAGTATCGTAGTGCAAAAACCGCTGTCTTATAGGTCTGCATTCTCATTTGGCCATCATGCACGAGATTACGAGGTAAAAAAACTAGAAATAAATCATTTTGATATGTAATGGTACACTATTTAGGTTTACATACCTGTAGTTCACCTTGTATTCCCTTCTTTCTTTCATAAATCATATTTAAAGGACCACAAAAATGTGGGCAAAGCCACAATTATGTCAATGTCGTACCCAGAGCAATGCCTGCGCCTGGGCTAGGATGGCATTGGCTCTGGGGAACTTGACAACCGGAACCCCTAAATTTAGGGGTTCCGGTTCTTTGTCGGCATGCACGATTGATAAACGTTAAACCAATCACAGTACAAGAAAAATTCAATTTCCCCAGAGCCAATGCCATCCTAGCCCGCACACAGGCATTGCTCTGGGTACGAGATTGCAATTATGTCTCATTGCCCTAACCACGCACCAGCCCAGGCTCAGCCCGCCCGCGTCGTAAACGAAGGCTAAGGCCATTTTCCATTGCAGTCGCTTTGCCCGCGCGGGCGGAGCGAACATTGCATTTTTTGTCCGCCTGACTGCTAGCGGACACGCCCTGAAAGTAGAACTACATTCAACTTTCTTGGCGTGCCCGCGCGACTGATATTTCACGTGATTAAAATTGGTCGCCCCGCCCGCATGAGCAAATAGCGACCTTAAGCATGTAGGACGGGAACGCGACGGTAAACAAACTCGTTGAACAAAATGATTGCAGCAGAAAACCTGTCGTCTATTATCCATCGTATGAAAATAATACAGTTTTATGACTGAGAAAAGTTCTAGGACCCAATTTAAAATAGCAGTTGTCCCAGCATGAAATGCAAGCGTTGTACACAAGACGTGATAACCTCATTTCGCCGTTGTAAAACAGAACTACGGCGACGTCTAAAACGTCTGTGGATTTTAATTGTCAATTTCTGCTCATTTTCTAGCATTAATATGTTATTATTAGCTGTTTTCGTTGCACTTTCGTTCTGCTTTTTGAACTTCTTAATAACGGTAGTTAGTTATATTAAAAAACTGTAAAATTTATGGCGCTTTCTTGACACGTCCCCGTACTAGATTAAGCTATGCTTAAGTTCGCTATTGGCATTAAAGGCCGGAGCGGGCTTTGAAAATCTGCTCACGCGAGCGTGACGGGCGTCAAAAACAATGAACGCTTCGCGTTCATGGGCAAAGCGAACGTTAATGGCAAACGACCAGAAACTAAAAATAACCTTGTAGTGGCCTAAATTTGAACTTTTGACACATGTTTATTTCTAAGATGTACAACAGAACTCAGAAGAGAGAAAATTTGATATAATACTGTGGCTCAGAGAGCGAAATATTAATTTCAAAGTAAACTAATTTGCTGTTTGTGCAACCACTTCTGACTTCCAATTCTGAATGTATTAAACACAACACAAATATAAAACATGATCACAATATTCTACGTGAACATCGTGACTGAGTTCAAGGTTATAGTTTCCAAAATATCTCCACGCAAGTAAATAAATTTCAACCCAAACAATATGTTGTCACATTGAAGGGCTTTCCCCAGTAGCTATCTCTCAATAAGAAAACTTCCAATTGGCTCTAACTCTTTTGAACACTGCCAGATGATTGGCTCCTCAAAAACAAAGGGAATTGAATGTGCAGCTCGTTTCAGCAGACGTTCGTTAGCCAGGGTTGAAGCTATAAGAACGTCTGCGAGGGAGACTAGGTAAGACAGGGCTGTAAATAGTGCTTAGCAACACAGGGTTAGACACAGCTTAGGGACAGAGTTCGATAGCTAGGGCTAAGAATCAGAACAGCAAAATATGAATCAATGAGCAATAGTTATAGATCCAGAGCTAAGGTTAGATTTCGGATTAAGGTTACCCTAACTTTAACCCATAAATTGAGACTTGCAGCAAATCAAAGAGAAATCCAACGTCGATATGATTACATAATAATTGTGATAAATGAAACTGTTTCCCAGTTTTAAACTACACCAAACAAGGGTGCGCAGACGTTTGGCCGACAGACACTAGACCGACAGACGTTTGACCGACAGGACCTTTCACTGACAGCAGACATTTAACTGTCAGGACCTTTCACTGACAGAACATTTGGCCGACAAGACATTTAGCCGACAGGACATTTGGCCGACAAGACATTAGGCCGACAGGACAATTCACCGACATTTCAATTATTTGAAAAAAACGTCTTGAAATAACATTTATTGTAACTTTCACGCATAGTTACCAGTTATGCATGCGCAATAGCACGTATACAGTATAGTCTAAAAAGCTGTCGGCGTTGAAGTCCAAATCACTCACAATCGCTTTATTCGGATCAGTCTAAACGCCAGTTTGGTACACGGCTAAAAGAACATCAAAAGGCTGTTTCAACTTTAGACAAGGGAAAATCAGCTTTAGCCGAACATGTATGTTACACCGAACACGAGATTGCGTGGGAAAACTCTAAAGTAATTACCACAAACAATCGCTATGGTCAAAGACTTTGCCTAGAAGCGTGGCATATAAATATGAGTAATCATGCTTTGAATAGGGATGACGGTGCCTACTTGCCAGAGGAATATATGCATCTCATTGGCAGGTGATGTCATCCCTTGGGTATTTAAGAAGCCACGATTGCAATTTTAGATTACCCCTGATGAAGACACTAGACTGGAGTGTCGAAACGTTGGGTCTTGATTACAATTCGACTGGGCTTTGTAATCATTTATATTTAAACCAGGGTAGCGAGCGAAACATGATTGATATACCTGGTTGCAGTGAACGAACAAACTTTAAAAGGTTAACCAAAGCTAACCTGTCCGCAAAATTAATTTTTTTCTCACCTTCAGTAGGCTAAAGAATTTCGCTTTCTATCAAGGATCCTTTTATTGTCACAGTGCCTTGTGACAATGAAACCGTGAAACAATGCCTGCACGCATGCCTCTATATTTAGTTTTTTGCAGGTAGCCAAAAAATATTTGCAGTTAGCCCTGCGTGGTCCAAACTTGCCCGCTTGAAGCTTGCAAGTTGCGACAGGGGACCGGACACCAAGGTCAAAGAATTTTTTTGTTTCATATTATCAAAACAAGTGCAACGTGTCCTCGTTTTTAATGCAAAAATATGCAGTTTACTGGCCAGAAGGCGAAGCAGCCAGCCAGTACAGCGTGTTTATTGGTCAGAAAATGTCATTGACTGGCTAGGAAAATGGCGGCCAACATGCGTAATGAGACATGCGCGAGGACAGAAACTTCAAAGCTCCAGACGTAAGTGGCCCTTCTGTATGGATCTTTATTCTGTGATACTAGTCTACATACGGCAGCCGGGCAGTGTTTTCAAAATACAGTCAGTCAGATAATTTAGTCCTAAAGTGTTAAAAATATTCTCTTAATACCCCACACACAACCCTAAATCCTAATACCCGTCTTAATACCCCACACACAACCCTAAATCCTAATCCTAAGACCTAACCTTAAAATCAGACTCAAAAGAAGTTGAAAAACTTTTTTTACTTTGAAAGTAAAACAGTACCGTACGGGATTCGAAACCGAGAACCACGATTCCGAAGCGGCGCCTAAACCAACACGCCACAAGGTAGCTTGCTAAATTAACTCGTAAACAATGCCCTTTAAACGAGGGGTAACATGTATGAAGTAAATCTCGATGTGAATACGTTCAGTACGATGTTTTACAAATACAAACTCTTTGCTTCTAAAAGCTCCAGCAAGCTCTTTTAGCTCGAGTAAACGCTTAGCAAGTGTCTTGCTTTGATTATTTTACACTTGTTGCTGACAGTAGTTCAGCGCCTTGTGGTAATTTGTCAAGTTTCAAACGAGGTCAGACCATTCACACCATTCAACTTCATTATTATAATACTCTTGTAATATAATTTGTAGTTCACAGCGACACTTGCTTGCTTGGTGATTATATTGATACAGAATCTTATTAACATATACGAAGCTATATACAAGTTACTTCATACATGCATATGACGTCACATCATTACATCCCTCCCTTGTTTCGGATAGGAGTTCGTCAGTCATTGTCAGTCATAGTGTTCAAAGAGCCTATCGTGTATTTACAAAATATTAATGTTGATATTCAATGTTCAGACGCTCTGGAGGTCGCCTGTTCTCTCTAGTAGGATATCTTCTTTCCGCTGGGCGTTGGGGTATTGGAACAGCAGTTGAATCAGCATCCGGATAGTGGATGGATAGGTGGACTTGTTCGAATTGCGAACAGTTGCGTGTGATAACGTGGTTACCAGCAGCGTTTCGTGCTGTGATCATACTACCTTTGATTTGAGTTATGGTGTATGGGTGTTTGTTGTAAGGCGAAAATAATTTGTTTTGACGTTTTTGACGCACAAGAACCGTGTTACCAACACAAAAGATATGAGGCTTTGCTTTTGCCGCAATATCTGCATATATCTTCATCTTCTCCTTTTGTGTGCAATCCTTGTGTACGAATAAAGAACGTGATGGCGAGGTTTGAACAAGATCGGATAATTTCAGGGAAAGCTTGCGTCCAAAAATAAGCTCGACGGGGCAACGTCCGGTTGTGGAAAGAGGTGTTGCACGATAGTTTCGGAGGAAAAGAAATAATGCTTGTTTCCAATTTTTATCCAATAGTTTGCAATTAGGGTTTTTTGAAGTGTGCGCATGAAGCGTTCAGATTCAGAATTCACAGTTTACTCGCAATTCACAGTTTACACGAAATTCACAGTTCACATTTGCTTGACAAGCGAGACAGTTGTCAAGGAACTTTTTCGCCATTCCGTTAATGCCAGGAAACCAAATCTTCTTTCAGAGGAGTTGTTTGGTATTGTGAGACCTTGGTGACTTTCGTGGGCTAGATTGAGGGCACGTTGGCGAAGGCCGTGAGGGAGGATGAGGAGGTGGGAACGAAGGACGAGGTCATGATCAGTAGACAAAGTTAGCTAGTCGCGAATTTGGAGGAGGAAAGCTTTGAGATCTTGGAGGTTCACTTCTTTGTGAGGGTTGAAATATGCGAGGACAGTGTCACTTGTCAGAAGGTGTTTGAGCTGGTCAAAAACTTGTTGGTGCTAAAAGGTCCACGTTCAGGTCGGTGATGGAGGAATAATTAGGAATGAAACGGGAACAGTAGTTGGTCATGCCGAGAAAACTGCGAACTTCGTGAGCATTGGTAGGGAAACTGGTATTGCGAATTGCAGAGACTTTCTTGGGGTCTGGGGAAACAGGTGGGAAATTTGTCTGCGCATGCGCTACAATTTGCGCGGTTTAAGAGATAGAGACTTAGGGGGGCGAGTAAATATAGTAAAATGATTTTTGAGCGTGGTATTGGCGTTTTTAGTCCCGTTTTTTCTGCTAACCAAAAAATTGTTAATCTATTGCATTATTGGGAAGGCGAGGAAGGTATGAGAACGTCCAGAGGCTAAAAATAAAATTGCAACTTTTGCGTAATCTTGTACATAGGAACTTTATTATTATTATTATTATTATTATTGGTCATGCCGAGAAAACTGCGAACTTCGTGAGCATTGTTAGGGAGACTGGTATTGCGAATTGCAGAGACTTTCTTGGGGTCTGGGAAAACTGCCTCCGATTCCGATGGACATGTCCAATAATTCCTACTATTCCGTATTTTGAGATATAAAGTATATATATTATATATTTGGTTTTGAGGCTCTCGGCAAAATTTTAAAATATTTTAATTTTTTTATTTCATTGTGCTATTATTCACCCCCCATAAATCACCCTGTATTAAATTGGAAAGAGATGGAAACGTATTTGCATATTCTCAAAACTGTTCATATTTTCTGAATAAATAGACTCTAGTCTTACAACGGATATGCTTTTACAAACAGGATTAGCTTAAACACGTGCAATTTCTAGTGGAATATTCAGAGGCACCTATTCAGACTATTACAGACTATATTAGACGGTTGTGCCGTTTTTGGTATCAACCCGTAATTTCATATCAAAAATACTTTGATTAGTGAATTAAGAAATCTTTGAAGAATCATTTAGAGATACTCTCGTTTTGAGGGTCTCGATTAGATTTTTTACAATCTCAAGTTGCAAATTTAGCTTTTTCCTATTTTTAGCAAAATCACGTTTTTTGCAAGTGTTTTCAAGGATTTAATCATACAGTAAACTTTCTAAATGGATTTATGGGTAGAAAAATGCGTGAAAAATAAACTTTAAACCTACCGTCAGTTTCGTTTTTTAATTTCATCTGTCCAGGGAGTAAAAACAACTTTCATCTTCGGAAAAAGTTAAATTTCGTCAATATTTCGTCATAGAAATAAATAGTTTTTAATTGCCCGATTTCAGTTTAAAGTCTCTTATCCAGGACATTTTTCAATAGCCTATGAATACACGAACTTAAATTCTTGCACATCCATGGTTCCTTCCCAAACGAGAAGCCCAAAAACCTGTTTTTGCTCATTTTAATAATTTAAAACAAACTTTTCGCTTGCGCCCGCAATTTACTGACCAGCGACAGCAAATTTCCCACCTGTTGTCTGGGGATACACCATTGCCCGAAAATATGTAACCAAAGAATTCAATACTGGATTTCTTATACTCGAATTTGGCAACATGCAAACGTTCGAAAACAGCATGAAGTGCATTGTCATGGGCCGCCTGATCACGTCCAAAAATGATGATGCCATCGCTTACGTTACGTACACCGTCAATACCACTGAGAACTTGTTGAATTGCATCTTGAAAAACGTCATGTAGCAGACGACGTACCAAAGTTCAGGCGTGTATATCTTCGCAGTCCTTTATGCGTTGAAAACGTAGTGATGTAACGACTCGCAAGTTCGAGCTGGTGATAACCTGAGTTTAAATCGAGTTTGGAGAAAACGATTGTTGCGGTGATATGACGTTCGCGAAGAATCACAAGACTGGGGTTGAGTTACTGGTGGGACGGAGTGATCAATATGCAAATGCTCTTGAAAATGTTTCATTTTCCAATACCCGTAAAGGGATCAGAGTACTCAGAGCGGAAGTGTGTGCTTGTAGATGGTGAAGACAGGTTTGAGGAGTCGACTGATGAGGTGGTTTGAACGATGACAAAAATGAGTTATAATTCTGTCGCGGTTTTGTAGCTTAATATAGGCAACCAGATGACTCTTGAATGACGTAGATGGTGGCGGGAACGATGCAAAATTTCGATTCAACGTGGGTAGTAAATGTTCCCAGAACAGGTCAAGGTGTTGTATTGTGGTAATTGTATATCTTTGTTGAGGAAGGTGAAAGTGGGATCTGTTTGTTTTTAAGCGATTTGATGATGTATGGTGTGATAATGTAATGGTGTGATAACGTGTATGATATACTATATGCTTTCACAACCTCGCTTTCTTTTCCGTATTTCTCACACACTATAGTTTTCGCTCGATTATAACATCCGAAGTGAACAGAAGTGACTGGACGTCACGTCGTACTTTATCGCCAAGTAGGTCCTTTAGATACGAAAATTTCACTTTTGCGATGCCAGATTTCTCTATAGATTCGCTGAATTGTCCCTAAAACCAATTCCAGTCCGTAAATGACCCGTCGAACTTCGTTATTACTATAAAAGGGACTGCATCTGGATTTTCCTATATGATTAATACTTGCTTTTACTGACATTTTTTCATATGCTGTCTTTCATTATTTCATGTGTTGTTACACTTTTGTGAAATATTCTTCTCAACAAACATTTTACTAAATCTGATGACTTCTTTTGTTCCAGTCTAATGCCAGCGCCACTTTTCACGCGGTCTTGTGCTAGTTCAACATTGTCATAGCTTGCAGCTGTGTCAGGATGACCATCTCCATACAGTTTTAATCTAATTTGAAGGGCATGTTGATGTGACTCTAACGCTGACTTGTAATCTTTCATCTCATATTGTATGACTCCGATGAAGGTATAAATATCAGCAGTGTCAGAATGATCTTGTCCAAATAATTTCTTTTTTATTTCAAGAACATGTTGCTCGTACTTTAATGCTGACTTGTAATCTTTTTTCTCATATTGTGTGATTCCAATGTAGGTATAACTATCAGCAGTGTAAGGATGAACTTTTCCAAACAGTGTTAATCTGATTTGAAGAGCATGTCGATGCGATTTTAATGCTGAATTGTACTCTTTCATCTCATATTGCATGACTCCTATGCTGTAATAACTCTGAGCACTGTCAGAATGATCTTCGCCAAACAATTTTAATCTTATCCGAAGAGCATGTTGATGTGACTCTAATGCAGACTGATAATCTTCCATCTTGTATTGTGTGACTCCAATGCTATAGTAACTTTGAGCAGTATCAGAATGAGCTTCTCCAAACAATTTTAATCTGATTCGAAGAGCATGTCGATGTGACTCCAGTTCTGAATTGTAATCTTTCATCTCACTTTGTATGATCGCAATATAGGTATAACTTTCAGCAGTGTCAAAATGATCTTCTCGAAACAATTTTAATCTGATTTGAAGAGCACATTGATGTGACTCTAATGCAGATTTGTAATCTCTCATTCTATGTTGCATGTCTCCAATGTTGTAGTAACTTAGAGCAGTATTAGAATGATATTCTCCAAACAATTTTAATCTGATTCGAAGAGCATGTCGATGCGACTTCAATGCTGAATTGAATTCTTTCATCTCACATTGTATGATTCCAATGTAGGTATAACTTTCAGCAGTGCCAGAATGATCCTCTCCAAACAATTTCAATCTGATTTGAAGAGCATGTTGATGTGACTCTAATGCAGACTGGTAATCTCCCATCTTGTATTGCGTACCTCCAATGCTGTAATAACTTTGAGCAGTATCAGATTGGGATTCTCCTAACAACTTTAATCTGATTCGAAGAGCATGTCGATATGACTCCAATTCCGAATTGTAATCTTTCATCTCACTTTGTATGATCCCTATATAGGTATAACTTTCAGCAATGTCACAATGATCTTCTCCAAACAATTTAAATCTGATTTCAAGAGCACGTTGATGTGACCCTAATGCAGACTTGTAATCTCTCATTCTGTATTGTGTGTCTCCAATGCAGTAGTAACTTAGAGCAGTATCAGAATGATATTTTCCAAACAATTTTAATCTGATTTGAAGAGCATTTTGATGCGACTTCAATGCTGAATTGTAATCTTTCATCTCACACTGTATGATTCCAATGTAGGTATAACTTTCAGCAGTGCCAGAATGATTTTCTTCAAACAATTTTAATCTGATTTGAAGAGCGTGTTGATGTGACTCTAAAGCAGATGTGTAATCTTCCATCCTATTTTGTGTGACTCCAATGCTGTAGTAACTTAAAGCAGTGTCAGAATGATTCTCTCCAAACAATTTTAATTTGATTTGAAGAGCATGTTGATCTGACTCTAATGCAGACTGGTAATCTCCCATCTTGTATTGTGTAACTCCAATGCTGTAGTAACTTTGAGCAGTATCAGAATGAGCTTCTCCAAACAATTTTAATCTGATTCGGAGAGCATGTCGATGTGACTCCAATTCTGAATTGTAATCTTTCATCTCACTTTGTATGATCGCAATGTAAGTATAACTTTCAGCAGTGTCACAATGATCTTCTCCAAACAATTTTAACCTGATTTGAAGAGCATGTTGATGTGAATCTAATGCAGACTTGTAATCTCTCATTCTATGTTGAGTGTCTCCAATGCTGTAGTAACATAGAGCAGTATCAGAATGATGTTCTCCAAACAATTTTGATTTAATTTGAAGAGCATGTCGATGCGACATCAATGCTGAATTGTAATCTTTCATCTTATACTGTATGATTCCAACGTAGGTATAACTTTCAGCAGTGCCAGAATGATCTTCTCCAAACAATTTTAATCTGATTTGAAGAGCATGTTGATGTGATTTTAAAGCAGATATGTAATCTTCTATCTTATTTTGTGTGACTCCAATGCTGTAGTAACTTAGAGCAGTGTCAGAATGATTCTCTCCAAACAATTTTAATCTGATTTGAAGAGCATGTTGATCTGACTCTAATGCAGACTGGTAATCTTCCATCTTGTATTGTGCGACTCCAATGCTGTAATAACTTTGAGCAGTATCAGAATGAGCTTCTCCAAACAATTTTAATCTGATTCGGAGAGCATGTCGATGTGACTCCAATTCTGAATTGTAATCTTTCATCTCACTTTGTATGATCCCAATGTAGGTATAACTTTCAGCAGTGTCACAATGATCTTCTCCAAACAGTTTAAATCTGATTTGAAGAGCATGTTGATGTGATTCTAATGCAGACTTGTAATCTCTCATTTTATGTTGTGTGTCTCCAATGATGTAGTAATTTAGAGCAGTATCAGAATCATATTCTCCAAACAATTTTAATCTGATTCG